TTTTTTTTTTGGAGACAGTTTCACTTTGTCACCCTTGAGACAAAAGTGCCCTGGCATGGTGCTGCATATCGTAGCTCACAGCAACCTCAAACTCTTGGGCTCAAGCAATTAACTTGCCTCAGCCTCCCAAGTAGCTGGGACTACAGGTGCTTGTCACAATGCTGGGCTATTTTTTAGAGAAGGGGTCTGGGTCTCACTAGGGCTGGTCTTGAACTTGTGAGCTCAGGCGATCCACCCACCTTGGCTTTCCAGAGTGCTAGGATTACAGGTGTCAGCCCCTGTGACCAGCCCTTAAAGTTCTTCTCTCACTTCAATCCTAACAGGTAACTAATACATTTTTAACATTTCCTCACAGGTGCGTCATGAGGAAAAATAAAAACATACATAGGGCGGCGCCTGTGGCTCAAAGGGGTAGGGCCCTGGCCCCATATACCAGAGGTGGTGGGTTCAAACCCAATCCTGGCCAAAAACTCCAAACACATACATTAACACACTTAAATTAAAAATCATGTTTACATTCTAGGAACCTAAGGTATAATAATTTTTGAAAGTCTTTTAAAAACACTAGTTATCTGTCACAAATTTAAAAAATGACTGCCAACGATTATATGTGAAGGGAAATACAAAATGTGATTCTAATCTATTCCATGAAGTGAATTCCAAAATACCTACATTTGCACATTCTTCACACATGACTGTGCTAGTTAATTCGCCAATAAAGATCCGATCTATGAAGTTCATTTTCATGCCTTCTTTTCCATATGCTGTAAAAATCATACTTTTTAATGCAAACGACATGTCAACCATCCAATAGTGTAACATGCTACTTTCTGTTTCTGCAAAAGTAATTTTCATAAAGTAGATATCCTGTACCACGTTTAATAATACAGCTTACTATATGTATGGTGTTATATCTTTCTCATTTACAATTTTGTAGTGGAAATATGATTACCAACTACTGTAGTCTGTAAGAAAGAAACTGTTCTTAAACTTAAGAGGCAAAAATAAACAGACCAATAACCACTATTCATACCACACCTCAACTGCTCCCATTAAACCTTTAGGAATAAAGCCTTGTATCTAACTTAGAGGTAGGAGATTGGCAAAGGAGATTATGCTTGCAGGACCACGATGCCAGGACCACAGCTATGAGAATGAGTCATAAAAGACAAGTAAACAAGCACGTTTTAAGGAATTAACATAGGCAATTAAGAACTCAGTTGATTATACATGTATAGTAGAACCTCTAAGTTAAGCACCCAAGGGACTGTAACAAATTGGTCAGCATGTGAAGGTGGGCAACATAAGAAACTAGGCCTGCTGTACTGATGTGTACATGTGGTACATGTCCAGTCTATGAAATTAGGTCAACTTAAGTAGATAGTCAATGTAGAGAGGTGGTCAGCTACCTGAGGATGTAAACAAAAACTATTCTGCTTAGGAAATACTTGTGAAACTATGCCTATGATTTGCTTTAAAAAAAAATCTGGGGGCTCAAAAAAAAAA